GTTATTCCATATCTTGCGCATTTGCAAATATGTCTCTTTTTCAATAAATATTTTCATGATAATTGTTCTGATGAGCTTTCACCTTTGGTACATTGACTTCACGAATTTAAACGCAGTACTGGATTAACAGCTAAATTTTATAATTTCACTGTTGAAATTGTAACTGTAAGTTCTCTGCTAACAGTTTCTTCTCTCACACTTCTCACTTCCGGCTTCTTGCTTTCCTGTCAACTACTGACCAAAGCATAAATGCAACATCAATCGTTATCTTCTGTTTTCTTGAATCCTGTTCTTGTATTGTCCTATCTGTTTCTTTCGCTCTCAGAAACCCCTTCTGTCTTAGTGGCTTTTATAGCCTTGCTTGTGGGTGAAATGATTTAAAAATAATATGTCGACAATATGAGAGAAATATGACGTATAAACTCTCTTTATATCATCTTTATTAGAAGAGTTTAAAATCAGATCTTTACATTGCTTTGACTGGAGGTAGGTAAAATCAGATATTTGAATCATTTTTCTCCGGTAATGGTGAAAATTGTCATTTCCATACAGGAAACATTTGGCATTCATTTACCGAATAGTCAACATTATTGTCTTTTGATAATTACAAAATCGTTTTCTTAAAACAGTTTTTCCTGAAAATAGATTTCTTATGTCTACTGCTCTTGCTTTTTCTAGTATTGATGGGGGGTTTCCTTCCTAAGCTTTTGTTTAAGGTAGTATGGAATGTCAACATTTTAGTTATATCATTAATTTCCATTCTAGTTTCATATGCTATGAACTTTAACTCTTAATGCTGTTTTGTTCTGTGTATGACGATAATCTAAATCCGGCAGCAAGTCCTCTCATCAGGAGGTTTTGAAGAGCACGGAACCACCTCTTAATTGCTGTTGTTCCCAGGTCTACACTGACTCAGGGTGGCAGCACATGCTAGGGCCCCAGCCATAGGCACATAGTGAACCCCAAAACTGGTGTAAAAAAAATATAAAAATAAATTAGAAAAAGTTACCAGCAATGCATTTTGGGGAAAATACCAAACCTCGCAAGAAAATAAAATTTCGGCATCAAATGATTCATAAAGTGTTGATATGTCGTTTAAACAAGCCTAACAAACCAAATCTTAATGCTGTTAGAAGTCTTCGGGTAATGTGTTTTTTTGTTATTTGATAAAGTTCTTTGTTTCTGTTGCGCCACTCTATAAGTCCTAATGAAGTATTGTCTTCTTTAAGACGTGGAAGATTTCTTTCACTTGAAGCACTTTTTAATCATTGTTCTGAGAAATCTGTTGTACACAGCTGATAATTTCTGAACGGGTTGGACGCCATTATGAAAGTCTCGATCTGACAAGGCTATTTAAGAACATGACTCTTAAGTTCTTAAGTTAATGTTTTGGTTTTGTAACATCTTGCGTGTTGGACAAAACCACTCCTAGCGCAAGACTATTCCTCTATCCAATTTCCTTGTTTCCTCTACTAAAATTAGTATAACTGATCTATACACCGAAGCATTTGAAGTGTTTAGAGTTTAATAATTCTACGTTTTGAAAGGTTTATCGTAAGTCCTGTTTTATGGAAGGTGGCAAAATCTAACAAAAAAATGTGTACAAGATTAAAAATTCCCAAATCTGACATATTTCTAAAGAAAGTCGAAGAAGACATTTGCCGACGACAGGAAATGAGGGGTGTATTGTCAAAAGTGCGGAAATTCTGTGTAGTCACACGAGATCTTGTTTGAGGCTGTGACACTACAACAACATCTCATGGTTTGAACTTTAACATAGCTATAATGCAAGGGAGGGGGTAAACTTTTTTTTTCAAGTAGGGCAACATTTTTTTGTTTGGCGGGTTCATGGAAGGCCACAGTTATCAAAAAATACTTGAATAATGAACAGACAAAAACACTATTTGTAGCATTGACATTTAATAGAAACCAAAATTCCAATATTCACTTGAGGTAATTTTACAATTTTTGTTCGTCAGCATTCTCACGTCATCGCATGTTAGAAAAAAAATCAGACACTGTTTATTGCAAAAAACACCCCAAAAAACAACATGGTCAGTTATTGCCTGACTGGCTCTGTAATACACATTTTTAATTTTATTTTAGAACTGTAGGGATTTGTTCATGATTTGAATATAGTGTAGGGTTAGCTTAATTGTAACTATTCTCATTATGGCATTCAGATTACTGTCTGCCAAGAGAGACCTATTTTCTGAGTTGTTGATGTTCATACATAAAAATGTCTGCTTACATGTGTATGTGGATGCAAAAAATACAAAGCTTTCGAACAAAACTTTTCAAATGGCAAAACTCTTCATGATGAAGAGATGATTAGAAATCAATCGGCTGCAAACTAATGAAATTCTCTTTCGATCAATAATGATCAAAATTACATTTGCAGTTCAACTCGTACGACAACTTATACATCAGATACTTGTACGAGTTTTAAATTGCTTGGCAAAATCGAGGGTACCATTTAATAAACTTGAAAGCATGACAAGTGATGACACGCCTACGCAAATAGGAAAGAATATAGGCCCCCATTAAACTTTAAGGTCAAATCCCAATATCCAAATAATACTTTTTTGTTATTCCATTGTATCATCCACCAAGAAAGAGTAATGAACTGTTTAGGGTAGATAGAGCTCGATAGCCCAGGAAGGCAGTCCTTCTAAGGGAAAGAAAACCCTGATTTTAAACCTCCGCTGCCTTGTGGTCATATCCAAAATTCAGAAAAGGGTATGGAAGTAAATCCAAACAGAAAACCTGGAGTGGAGCTCCGAAGGCGGTTGGCTGTTGTTCGACTGTGCTTAGGGTGGAAGATAAATTATTTGAGATTGCTCACTGAAAAGTTGAATCAGCACAAAGAGGACACGACACGAAACATGATACACTCAAGAACTATTCAAACTGCTGCTGGATTCGTTTTGCTTCCAGCATTCCCTGGTGGACCGGAAGTGCTTACAATCATCATAATCCTAATCAACATTATTGATGTTGCTATAAATATCCCCCTTCGTAAGGTAATTTATTTTTTTATTATTAATTTATTTCTAACTTTTCAAATTACAAAATTAAACAATTACAGATCAAAGATTGTTTTGGTTACAGTCTAATGGTGATAACTCACTCACTTTGTGAAATGAAACAAATATTTTGGAGTTTGTATTGTTCGTTTACTACTAGTTTTTTCAATACTTTCTCTTGTATTATTATTTGTTTGAAGATTCTTGTAATGATAACTAATTGGTTTCTTTTTCAAAAGTCTATTTTCAAAACCTGAAAATGAATTACGTTTCTTCATACGTCTTCAGAAATCCCCTGGATTCTTTGTCACAATATATACGACCTGTTGTCAGTGTCTGCTGACTTGTTCGTTCCTTCAGGGTCTCAATATTTTTCTTCATCTAATCTTCTAACTCTATCTCTTCTTTTTAGAGTTGGTAAATTTCCGGTAACATGAAAAACCTGTTAAAAAAATTCTTTTCCATTCTGGTTTTTGCTAGTTTGCCTCTCTCCCTGATTAGGATGTATTTCCTCTTAGTGCTATTGAGTGTGTCTGAGGCGAATGTTATTATTTTAAAATTTCTATCTGTTTTTTTTTTTGTTTTTTTTTTTTTTAAATAGATCTGCTCCATGACCATAACTGCTAGCGTCAGCACTAATTACTGTAGGTCTGGTTGGATCATAGTACGATAGAATTGGTGCTTGGGTTAGTAATTCCTTCACTCTTTTAAAAGAATTCTCTTGTCTTTGACCACCGCCCGAATTGGGTTTTTTTTTCGAAATAGTAATTTTTGATTGAGATGATGTTTATGTTGGTTTTTGTGTTGATTTTAAACCTCACTGCTGTTTTTTACAATTTTTTACCATGGGTCATTTAAATTTCTTTCTGTTAGCTTTCTTAAGAAATTATCTTCATTTACTGTCTGTATCGTATTCGTTTTATTTCTGCGAAATTATTCATTATCCTGCATTTCTTGCAGTGTTTCCCTTTTGCTGGACAGTTTTTAAAATCACATTTTCTGTTACATCTACTGCAGTTGTTGTTTTTATCCCTTTTTTCTTTTTGTATCTCATGTGTTTCTCTCGGTCTTTGGTTTTAAGATTTTATTTACTCACTGCTCCCGGCCATATCCAATAGCTTTCTGAAGTTTCAAATCAGGAATTAATTGTAATCTTTCGGATAGCTCCTTATTCTATAGTCCTATAACAAGACCGTCTTTTACAAAACTCTCAGAGAAAAACCTTCCCTTGATAGATAATGGTTGGCTAATTCCGTACACTGAAGAGGAGCATCGACCACCCAAGGGCCTAAATCCCACTCATGGCTGTACTTCAAGAAAACAAACAGAAGGTCCCATCCCCATTATGGATTATCAGGAACTCAATCAATATGTTGACGTGTACACAGCTAATGCAGGTGTTTGCACGCAAAAATTGAGGAAGGGGAGATGGGGATGGGTCAGACTCTACACCTTGCTAGCTCTATTCAAATTGATTTCGTCATTTTTCTTCGGAAACTCACATGTTTCTGCTAATTCGGGCAATGCGCGAATAAAGGTTTTCCCCGGATCTCTAAGACAAAATTTTGCCCTTTCATGAATTATATTTCTTTTAATAATCAAGTAGGCATTAAATTTTTCCAAAATTAAGTCGTACACATTTGCGTCTTCTCGTCGTGAGAAAGAAAATGTCTGGAATATATGTTTGACTTCGCTTTCTATGCAATATATTAATGAACTGACTCCAGTTGTATCTTCTTCGATGCTTCACGAAAGCATTGAAATCTCTGCGAGCATTTCTGCCAATTTCCCGTATTTGTAAAGTCAAACGGTTCTGGTGTAGATAATTTAAACATTTTTTAAATATTTTTTTTTCGAATTGGGTCCTGTATAGTTCATCTCGAAAGTACAGATTTGTTAACACCCCAATTCTTTAATTAACACAATAATAATGTCTTAATTAGTAAAACGTTCAAGATGTTTTTATTCTTCTAGATCATGGTTCCAAAGAATTTTGCCGGTTTAAAGGCAAAACGTTTAAGATCGGCGATAACTTCAAGTTTAAGTGTAATTCTTGTATGTGTACGGAAACAGGAGTTATAAGGTGCACTCTTAAGCTTTGCCCACCTGAAGGTAAGCATTTTGAAATATATTTTTAAGTTTGACAAGAAATGAAAAGCTTTCATTTCAGACAATTCTCCAAAATCCTACTGACAATTGTTTCCTTCTTAGACTCCAGATATCATAGATTCACGTATGTCGACCGTCTGTATCGGTCAACTGTTGATTTGGCGCAGAGAAATCATAAATTTAGGATATGCTTCACGTAGGCACATCACTAAGTTTGTGTAGCTTTTTTTCCCCCGGCATGCTGCTATATTTCGGAGCAATAAAGAGTCGTGGTTTAATCCTTTTATAGTCCTGAACAGCGCCACCCAACGGACGTCTTGGCAGACTAGGTGGAGATAATCCCAACATAAGAAACGGAAAATACACCGGTCAAATTGTTAAAGAGAATAAATTCGACAACAAAGACGATGATGATGCTAGTTAATCCAATAAAGAAAAATCGATAATTCCTCATTTCGAATTTTCAGATAAAAGTTGGACGTCAGAAACAAATTGCTTTAAAGTTTCTTTATATTCCTCAAATACCGAGAGAAATTTCAAACTTTGACTCAATGGAAACTGATATTTTTTCTGAGTGAATTTTATGATGCAATTTGAAATTACAATTATATATTCATTTTATTTTAATGCTTCAATTGTGCGGAATCTAATTTTAGTTTTTATTTTTATTTTACAGTGTAACTGTGTAAAGTCAGGATTTGGAAAAAAAATGTCCGACACAAAATTCGTCGAAAACAATATCTGGATGCAAATATTGCTTTGGATTCGGAGATAATAAAATTGAAAAAATAATGAATTGAAAAAAAATATTGTTGTTTTTTTTTCTTTTATAAATACATTAATGAATGTCGAAAAAGATCTATGAAAGTTAATCAATCTAAGAACTGATCGTCACTCTGAAGCTATAGCAGATATATATATCTTCTTAATGAAGACAGCCTACTTAAGTGGTGATAAAGTAATCCTCCATTGAATCCGCATTGAATCAAAGTAGAAGGAAAACGGCAAGCAGTATGAAGAAATTGTGTCCGAAAAAGCAAATATGAAGTAAAACTTCCCAGCGCCCATTTTTGAAATTTGAAATCTAATGCGCAACTGGAAAACAGTTTTTTGAGGAAAACTTTTACACACAACCAATACATCCCGGGAAGAAAGTTGTGATGTGGTTGGAAAGGGTTTTCAGTGGGTGAGCAAATCTTCTGTAAGAAATTTATGTCCAGGAACCTGACACCTCGAATTATTGCCCTCTTATTCTCTTCCATCTTTTTAGCAACGTCGAATTGGTTAAGCATCTTACGTCACACAACCGGATAAGTAATATGGCTTCCGTTTCTCCAGGTTTACCGCCGATTTATTAACAGCTATTAATGAAATTGTCTATCTTTATATAGGAACGGTGAAGCTAGGACTGTGGCCCTAGATATCATAAAGGCGTTTGACAGGGTCTAGCTTGCTGTCTTTCTCCACAAACTTAAGGACTACGGTCTCTCTGGACGAATATTTGGCCTAATCCAATCGTTCCTAACAAATCGTGTAGTGGATATCGTATTAAATAGACACGCTTCTAGTTCATTCCATATTAATGCAGGAATCCTACAGGGCTCTATCCTTGGATTTATGCTGTTTCGGATCTTCATCAACGACCTTCTCGTTGTCGTCAGTTCCGAACTAGGTATCTCTGCAGATGACACAACTACTTACCCCTGACTTAGTAGCAAGTCCAACAAATCTGACAAAGTAGACCTAGCAACTGCTTTAGAAATGGACCTATAATAAGTGCTTAATTGGGGCAAGGTATGGCTTGTAAATTTTAAAACTTCCAAAACAAAACTGGTTTTATTTAATCCCCACAGATAACCTTTTCTGCCTACTATCAGCATGGCTGATGCTAAACTCCATGAGAGAGACACTTTGTACCTTCTTGGACTCACGTTTTCCACTAACCTGAATTGAAATGATTATATTGAATCAATTGCTATGTCTGCTGCTAAGAAAGTTGGTTCACTGTGTCGTAACAAACAACTCTTCTCCCCAGAATCCCTCTTACATATTTATAAATCTACCATTCGTCCATGCATTTAATATTGCTGCTGCCATATCTGCTCTGGTGCACCTGCTACATATCGCAAGATTCTTGACAAAATCCAAAGAAGGGTTTGTAATTTAATCGATCCTGACCTGGCATCTCGACTTCAGCCATGTTCCCACCGAAGTCATGTGGCTTCTCTCTGTATTTTCTACAAATATTTTCATGTCAAGTGTTCTGATGAGCTGTTCTCTTTAGTGCTTCGACTACATGGATTTAAGCATACTACTAGATTGGCAGCTAGGTTTCACCGTTTTACTGTTGAACTAGCTAGATGCAACCATCAATTCTATTCCAAAAGTTTCTTTTCTTTTCCCTTCTGATTTCTTGCTTCTCTTCTACCTTCAATCTTCAAAAATTTAAATGCAACATCAGCTGCCATCTTCTGTCTTCCCGAATCCTGTTCCTTTATTGTCCTTTTCCTCATTTCTCACTAATGTTTTCACGCAAGTGCCCCTCCACCCGCGACCTAATGGTATTACGCCTTGGTGGTGGCGTGGGGTGGGTTTAATGATAAAAAAATGCAACATAACTTATATAATAATAAAAGTTGTGTTTAAAAAACACGGTCTGTCTTTGAAATGAAAGTGCTCAATATTAAGAAATAGAGCACTAATATCAACATATAAAATGTAATTTTAAAACTTATCTTTCCGACTCATAGTCTCGCAGATATGGTATCCGATTGTCCGGGTATGATAATAAAATTTTATTATCATACCCCTTGACGAATATATACTGTATTTGCGAAACCTCGGAAAGATAAGTTTGAACATTAAATTTTATTTGTTGATTATATATATATATATATATATATATATATATATATATATATGGTCGAGTGGTTAGAACGTTCACATTCTGATCTGGGTTCGAATTTCACCTTGGTCGATTTTTCAGGAAGAAGACTTCCTGATGTTATCCGTTTGGAAAGTGTCTGAAAACCATACCATGGGTTGATCCAAGCCTTGTGAGTGAAATTAGGTAGACGGAATCCTTGGGGGCCATCGATAGCTGTGCTAGCACGAAGTCACAAGTCATCGTGTCCGAGGGCTTGTTCATATTGTTGATCACGCTAGATAACACAGGTGGTCTCTGTGGGTGTTGAATAAACACAAATGCGCCTGAGCAAGTGTCTGTAATAGGGGATTGGCTAGCTGTCCTAGTAGACGGGTATACTGAATGCGAGTGACCAGCTATACTCATATATATATATATATATATATATATATATATATATATATATATATATATATATATATATATATATATATATATGTAAGCAAATATATGGATATAGATCCGATTAGTATGAAGAAAAATATATACGGAAAAAAAAACAAAACTCATACAATTATGCTGTTTTAAAACAGCATAATTGTATATAAGGATTTTTGTTTGTTTTTTCCGTATATATTTTTCTTCATATATAAGTGCATACTTTGATCCGAGGCGGAAGTATTGCTCTGTTCGCAAATAATCCTATTATTATTTTTTACTGATATTATGCTCGCCTTGTTAACTATCTAAGAATTAGCATGTGATCAATAGAATTGTGGTCGTGTGTAGTTTGAATTTAAAATCGTTATTCAATCATAATTATCTCGATAGGGGAAGGAGGTATTGATAATAAACAATAACAAACCATATTTTTTTAAGATTGGTTCAAATCAAGTTTTAACTAGATGTCATAACGATCATTTGAAAAAAAAAACTCAATGTATTTTAAATAATTTAAATGTCGTCTTTGAAGTAAGGGAAATAAATATCCATATGAAAATAATAAAGGCTTTAGACATTTTTAAAATATTGACACGTTCACTCATTATAGAAAATTTAATTGAAAGAGATTATTTAAAAATTCTCTTTAAAATCCAATATTTATTCTAGAGATGCGTTTCAAAGTAAATGAGTAAATTTAACGATTAATGAACTGAACATTAACGATTAATAAACTGAAAAAGTAATGCTTATATTTTTTGCTTAAAAATAGTTAAAATAACGTCAGAGCCGTTTTAACGCATGGGCCCGATGGGCACTTGCCCGTGGGCCCCACGAGCATTGGGGCCCCAGGCTAATCTGTGTATGTTACGTGACCAATGTTACAGAAGACCATTTTTAGGAAATACTAAAAATAGAAATTACTATGACAAGACTTGCATATTGAAGTTGGTGAAATTATGTCATAATAGAAAGATCCATTTCATTTGAGTTGGTTCTTGAATAAAACAGAAAGTGAGACTGTGTCCCTTTTTGACGTAGAAGACACTGGAAATGTCAATGACTTTCTTCAAAGAGGCCGCACAACCAATATAAATGGAAGTGCTGGTTTGTTTTGCCAGTTCAGGTCACTTGCAGACAATTTCACTATCACAGAAACGATCAAAGAACTGACACTGATTCCCTCTGATATTTGTGACCAAGACTACTGTTAACTTTCTGTTGGAGAAAATATTATCTTTTATTTTTCTCTGCTTTGATTTAATTCTTAAATTTTCCCAAGACTGAATCAATATTGTTTTGAATGTTTAATTCTAATATATTTATATTTTTAATTTTCTTAGTAAATTATTTTTATTGTTATAAAACTCTAGCGTTGATTGTATTTCTTTAGATAGTATTTCTTTATTCCGCTTTTCTTTCACCTTCTCTTTCTTTTTTCTGTTTGCGCAAAAGTGCTAAAATGTGGGTTCATACTAAACTTTGATGTTCATTTCAAAACAAAAACAGCAATTAAACTGTCTTAATTAAAACAAATAATTTTCTCATTCGATGTCCATTTCACAACAACAAAGAAAGTAATTCCTATTTCTTTTCAGATATATTTTTGATAAAACTGACTTTGTGTTTGTTTAAAAATGTTGTTTTCTGTTGAATTTATTTCTTTATCCAATTTGGATGAAAAATTTCACTCATTAAAAAAATCAGTTTTATGGGAACTAGCTTCCATATTTTGATTTAAACATTAATGCAAATATGAAAAAAAGCAGAATTAAATTTGGACCTACTGTAATACTATTAATAGCAATGGCACGATTATTGGAGACATTTATTGTCGTATATGAACCCAGGTATATTAATAGCAATGACATAATAATTATTGTATATGAACTCAGGTATAAGACTATGCATGGATTATTACATTAGTGATTGAACCTGAGATTCAGTCATAACACTGGAGCATATTGCAGTGGTTATTTAAGATGCCGTACAAATTACCAGGTACTGATAGTTTGTGAATATATGAATTGATAAGCTTTTTTAATTGTGCAAATTGAGAAAAGTGTTGAATGTAGTCTTGTAGACCTATACATAAATGAGGCTAGATCATTTCCTATAAAACCTATCTATGCCACTAAACTAGAGACCTAGGACTTGTCCGGTAATTTTGTGAATCAGCACACAGTAGCGAGTTTGTATTAAGAATAAATACTGTTCGTACAATTAAAGGAAGAACATGTTCATTATGGAAGCAGAATGTTTAAATATTTAGGTCTTGTTACAAGTACACTTATATAACCTTACATCTTGGTGTAGGACTAAATACTAAATATTTAAGATATATACTTACAGATGAATCATCTTTTCAGCGGAA